ATGAAAATTAGAAAACCCTGAGGAAAGATATGGGCCCTGTACAATGGATTGATTGGATTCCATTTGGTACTGGTTCTTAGCTATACCACTTCCCACCCAACCCCCTGATAATGGCTTGGGAAAGCAACAGAAGATGACCTAAAACCTTGGGACCCTTCACCCATGTGGGACAGCAAGAAGAAACTTCTGGCTCCTGCCTGCAGACTAGCTCAGCTCTGGCCTTTGTAGCCATTTGGGGAGTGAACCAACAGATGGAGGACCTTCGTCTCTCATTTTATCAATCTGTCTTTCTAATAAAAGTTTAAAAATCTTTTAAAAAAGCAATCTTGAATTACAGTTACAGGGCTGGAGGTAGCACAGTAACTGATTTTAAGGCATACTACCCAGCTGTAGTAACCAAGAGGGCATGGCAAAAGCATAAACAACAGGCACATGGAACAAAGAAAATGATTTTTTACAAAGGCCCCAGAAACATACAATGAAGAAAGGACGGTCTCTTCAATCAATAATGCTTAATAACTGGATATGCAAATAACAAGACTTAAACTTAGTTCCCAGTCAGGTTTACCCTGAGCAGGTAAAATGCCTGCCAACATGCCCATGTCCCGCATGAGAATTCCTCGGTTCAATTCCTGCCTCCGGCTCCTGAGTCCAGCTTCTTGTTCATACTGACCTGATAGTACCAGGGCTCCATCCTACCACCTTGCAGGAGGCCTAAATGAAGTCCTGCTATCCCAGTTTCACCCAAGCCAGTCCTGGCCACTCTTGGTATCTGCAGAGTTACTTAGCAGATAGTAATTATTTGAGAAAGAAAAATCTTTGAAATTTGACCCCGTATCTCACAACACATACAACTCTCAAAGAGCATTAAATATCTAAATGCAAAAACATGAAACTCTAAGGAGAAATGCTTGAGAAATACGTCAAGACAGCGGTAAAGGCAATGACTTTGTGCACAAGTTCCCTTAATCACAAAATCAAAACTAGACAAATGTTATTAAGAATCTTGTGCACAGCAAAAGACAAAAATAACAGAGTGAAGAGACAGCAGGAGATAAGGCAAAAAAAAAAAAAAAACCAAAAACAAAACAAAACAAAAAAACACCTGTTCATCTTAAAACATTTGCAAACCACTCACCTGTACAAGACTGATATGCTGAATATACAAGGAACTCAAGGTAATGTGAAAATTAAAAAGGTATGTGAAACTGATCAGACTGAATATTTCTTAAAGGAGAAAACATGAATAAACAAACAAAAATGCTCATGATCTTTAACCACCAGGGAAATGTAAAACAAAATCACATTGAGACATTTTACTGCAGTAACAGTTATCAGGGAAACAAAACATAGCAAGTGCTGGTGCGGGCATCAAGGAGAGAGGACTCACAGGAACAGTTGATGGGAATGAGAATGTAAATTAGCACAGCCATGACGGAAGTTTCTGGAAACCTAGAGCTGGATTTCCCACTGATGCTGCCATACTGCCTTTGGATAGGCATGGTACTTCAAAGAAGGTTAAGGAAACATGGAGTATAAAGTGCATTTTGGTTCTAAAAATGTTGATAAGTAGTTTATTTTCCCCACAATATATAGTTCATGGCCTTTATAGTGACCATTTTATGAATGAATTTCAAAAATGTTTGCATCAAAAACTTTTACTTTCTGCAGACATTGTGAGACAATCTGCTTTCTGTACAAGAGATATCAGTGTGAGATAGCTGCCGTGCTGCATTTCCGGCAGTACTGTCCGCAATGGTCAAGACAGGGAGTCAGGCCCAGCACTGTAGCCTAGCGGCCAAAGTCCTTGCCTTGCTCATCTGGATCCCATATGGGCTCCGGTTCTAATCCCAGCGGCCCCATTTCCCATCCAGCTCCCTGCCTGTGGCCCTGGAAAGCATTCAAGGACAGCCCAAGGCTTTGGGACCCTGCACCTGTGTGGGAGACCCGGAAGAGGTTCCTCACTCCTGGCTTCAGATTGGCTCAGCTCCAGCTGTTGCAGCCTCTTGAGGAGCGAATCATTGGATGGAATATCTTCCTCTCTGTATATTTGACTTTCCAATAAAAATAAATAAATTAAAAAAAAAAAGATAGGGACTCAACCACAGTGTCGCTTGATGTGTGCCTGTGTAAAGAGAAAGTGGTATATACACATCGTGGAATATTACCCAGCCACAGCATGAAGTAATATCCCATCATTAACAGCACAATGGATGGAACTGTGTGCATTTTATTAAGTAATACAATCCAGAAAGGTAAGCGCTGTGTGTTAGATCTTATATGTGGAAGCGAAATTAAGATGATCTGAATGTCAGACAATGAATGCCACAGCTTGGTAATGGTGTGGAGTTGGATACTTCCTACCAAATGGAGTTACTTGCTCTGCAAGTGCTCTACAGCACAATGACATGCGTATATTTCATGATGACCTGCTCTGTATTACGAAGATACAGAAGGGGAATACTTAAAGTCTACAACTGTAAAAGAAAAAAAAAAAAGGATACGGGAATGCTAATTACCCTGATTTGATGACTAAACAATATAAATGGCTTGAGGTTTTCATTGACCTTCGGAAATATGTGCAGTTACTAAATATCGGTGGAAAGTGTGTAAAATCCCCATGGAAGGAATACAAATTTTGAAGACATTCTATCTTGGTACCTGCACTGCGGTGTGATGGGAGAAGCCACTGCATGAGATAGCTGAATCCCATTAGGGCTCTAGTGCATGTCCCAGCTGCTCCACTTAGGATCCAGCTTCCTACTGATGGCCCAGGAAAAGCAGAGGATGGTCCACGTGTTTGGAGCCCTGCCACCCATGTGGGAGACCCAGGTGAAGGTCCTGGTCCCTGGCTTCAGCCTAGTCTAGCCCTGATCATAGCAGCAACTGGGAGAGTATACTAGCAACAGAAGATCTCGCTCGTTGATTTTAACATTTTTAAATAAATAAATTTCTCTTAAAACAAAAGCTCCAGTTTGGTGCTACCGTCGCAGGTAAAGCCTCCATTTGTGATGCCAGCTCTGATATGAGTACTGGTTCCAGCTCCTTGCTAACATGCCAGGGGGTCAGTGGAGGATGTCCTGGGACCCTGTCCCATGTGGGAGACATGAAAGAAGCTTCTGGATCCTAGCTCAGATGAGCACAGCTCTGGTCTTTGCAGCCATTGGGGAATGACCAGTATAGAACTCAATTTGTCTCCCTCTCTTTCAAAGAAAAAAAACAAAAACAAAAATTCCAAAATTCCATTTTAAAATTAGGCTGTACACTTTGAAACATGTTTTTTATCTTTTGGCAGAAATAAATATCTAGCCACAAATTACTGATCAAAAAAATATATAAATCTTACAGCAAATTAAATAAAAAGTTAAAATTAAAGCCTATTTGTGTCGCTCTAGTGTATTCTAAAACATTATTTTCTGTTTTAATATTTTAAATCTGTATAGGTAAATATAGTATGCAAATGTACAAACATGAAATTGAATTGTTCCTAATTAAAGATGTGTGATTTTAATAAAGCTGTAATTATATTATTTGCCAGCAAATTAAACATCCTGATATATAGCAAAATATTTAGCATTACTCAGTTATTAAGCTGGATGAACCAAAACTTTCTTCAAACTACTAGCAAGTATGAGTTAATTTTCTCTGCCCAGTTTTTTTTTTTTTTTTTTTTTGTGCTGTTAAGCAAGTAAGTGTGGCACAGCAAATACAGAACAATAATTGGGATAATAGCTATTCAAAAAATGAATTTTACGTTTAAATGCATTTGATATATCAGTAAACAAATTGTTTGCACCTAAGTATATCTGTGCTTTTAAATGAATAAAAATTCATGCCAAATATATTCATACTGATACAATTTTTATGTCATTTTGTTTTTAGTAAAATATTTTTTCTCGTAGTATTTTGCCCACATATCTGGACTGAATCAAAAATTGTTTTAAGATTCATTTATTTTTGTTGGAAAGTCAGATATACAGAGAGGAGAGACAGTGAGCAAGATCTTGTGTCTGCTGATTCACTCCCCAAGTGGCCACAGTGGCCAGAGCTGAGCTGACCCAAAGCCAGGAGCTTCCGCCAGGTCCCCTGCAGGCATGGAGGGTCCCAAGGCTCTGGGCCATCCTTGACTGCTTCCCCAGGCCACAAGCAGGGAGCTGGATTGGAAGTGGGGCCTTCTGGACACAAACAGGCACCCATATGGGAACCTGGGGCATGCACTAGCCTACCGCATTGGGCCCCTGAATCAAATTCTTACGTTATATAGTTGGTTCTCAGAAGTTGACAAACTATAGTTGTATTAGCAGTTGTAAACGTAAAGTTTGAATTTAGGAAATGTTCTCATGTAAAAATAATTACATTTGATTTTCACAAATGTTTTACATGGTTGTACAGATGAGAACTATAGGACTCAAATAACTGTCCTGCCTCAACTCAGAGTCAAAGTTAAATTGGTCTCCTGAGCCCGTAGTCCTTGCCTTTTCCTGGTTACTGGGTCTGCCATTGCATTCCCAACAGACTAAGGGCTTTTTTGCTTTTTATTTGTTAAGCTTCTTAGTGAAGTAGTAAGCCTGTTACCAACGTATAAATCTAAAATATAATTTCTCAAAATTGAAAAAAAATTGGGGAGCAGAGAGGACGGGAGGAGGAGGGGCTGGGATAAGGGGAATGTTACAGGGGGTTTCGAATTCTATCTAATCGTTAAACATTAGTTAACATGAAAATATAAAGTTTATACATATATATAGAAAAAACACAAATATATACAGTACACATATATGTATATGTAATAAACATATATTACACACACACACAAAAAAAACCCTATCAGTTAAAAAAAGGGGGAAAAAGGATTGACTCTGACCTAGAAGAGATTTCTGAGAGTTGGTTTTCATAAAAAAGGAATCAGTAACACGAGTCGCTGTCTGTCGTAACTTGGTGTGGGGCTGGCCTTCTCGTGCGTGCTGACTTAACGAGCTCTAAAGCGTGTCGTGGTCTGCTAGGCTTCCACCGGCGGCCAGCGCCGGTCACCAGGCGGCAGTTCCCGCACGGCGCCCACAGGATGGACTACCTGCACTTCGAGGACGACAGCCGCGGCTGGTGGTTCGACATGGACATGGCCATCATCTACATCTACTCCGTCAACTGGGTCATCGGCTTCGTGGTCTTCTGCTTCCTTTGCTATTTTTTCTTTCCGTTCTAGGAATCTGATATCTTACTGTCACTGAACAATCATCACTGGTGTCAATAAACGTCGCGTAGACCTTTTTTAAGATGTGCTTTCAAGTTTTTATAATGTTGCCTTGTGTAAAGGGTTGGTGTTTATAAGAAAGCCTGAGAATAATGGACGTGTTTCCTAATGTTTTCCTGAATGAACGAGACTTCATTCAAGAGCTGACCTATCCGGAACTTACCAACAGTGTTCAATTAACAGTGTATCTGGCTTAGGGTATGGGGTTCCACTTTTCCAGTGTCATTTTTATACTCATTTTCATCGTGAAGACTACAACTTTCTCGCCACTTAAATATGATAATCTACAAAATAAAATGAAAACCCTGAAGGGTATCTGTATTACATATTTAGTCTATCACCATTTATTCTCAGGCAGATTCCATATATATCATATATGTATCTTATATATATATGCCATATATATAAGGTAACTAATGTTCTCTGGGAACCAATCTAGCAGGGTATATTCAACATTGTTTTCTAATTTTCTTCGCCTGTACCCCTTTCTGTTACCAAGAAATACTTACTGTCCTTTTTGAAAAGACCTGAACATATTTTTAATGTAACATTTTCGGTTATTATTAGCAACTTCTAAATACAGTGAGACTTACCCGCATCAATAGGCATTTCAGAGAGCTGTGTTAACATTTTCCAAATCGCAGGACTAGTCACCTGGATAAAATAATTGACTGGCTTTCTGTAGTCTAAATAAACAATGCATGTCCAAAATGTACCTAATTCAGCGGTTCATTGAACTAAGATACTGTTAAATATACTGTTAATGTGCAATAAAGAGTGGTTTTTAAACTTTCTATTGTTCAGTGATTCCATGTCTAGAACAAATAATTGTTGCAAAGCTCTTGGACTCCTAGAAAGATGCATCGCTTATTTTTATTTGCAGCTGCAGTGATCTGTACATTGTTTTCTTATTCAAAGAAAAAGAAAAGGGAAATTTTCAATGTGCAGAGAAATAGGGCAAGATAACCGAGTTTTAAGGAAACCTGGGATGAAGTTTTGATTACGAGTTTATAATCTAGCATTCCTATACTATGTGGTTGTGTTTTAGAAAAAGAGCCTATTTTAACATGAAACAGGTAAATCATGATACTTAGAGTACAACCAACCAACAAAATAGGGACTAGTTCTATCTGTAGTAGTTGTAAAAAGTCACATTTTGGCGTAGTCACTGCTGAATGGCTCTGACTTGAAGGACTAGACTGATGGCATGCATTGACCGAAGAATATAGAAAAATAGTACAGACTTTAATGTGTCTTTATATATAAAATAGTAATATATGTCACACATTATTAAATCCAGAAAGCAGAAAACTAAGTAGAATTCAGAAGCAAAGGTAAATTTGTGTTTATATAGGGATAGTAGAACTTATTGATCAAGGAAATATAAGGCTTCTAGTGGAGATTAAAAAATTAGTGAAATGCATATTAAACAGGGAACAATTTTTACTTATTTATTTCATTATTCAATTATACAGTCCCATAGGCTCTGGAATTTCCCTTTCCCCTCCCTAAATGCCAGCCGCCCGCCTCCATTAATTTTCCCCTTGTCATGACAGCAGTGTAGTCTTTCACAGATATGAGCCCGTCACTCTGCTATTTCAGCGTATCCTGACATTGTAGGCATGGGCATTGGCAAAGAGGCCAGCAGCCTACTGTCAAGATACATTTAACAGTTTCACTGGGAGTCCATTTTTGATTTGGAAGTAGAGATGCATACTGCATTGTATCTTCACATCTATACGTGATAATCTGTACCAAACAGTTACAATACATTACCTTAAGTGAAAACGCCATAAAACAGAGAATAGAAAATTTACAACACCTTGAAGTTAAATAACATGCTACTGAATGACCATTAAAATAAAAAAAAGAAAGTCAAACTCCTCCTTGAGGCAAATGATGCTCTTGTGTGACCTATGAGTCAGTGAGGAAATAAGAAAAACAAAAACCATTTTTTGGATGAATAAAAATAAAAACAGAAATATCAAACCCTCTGAGATATGGCAAAAACGGTGTTGGGATGGCTGTTGATCTAGTGTTTCGCATGAAGGTTGCCTTATATAAAAGAGAACCTATGATATTTGTCCTTTTGGGATTGACTTGTTTCACTGGGCATAGTGGTCTTTAGTTGGGATCATTTGGTTGTAAATGGTAGCATTTCATTCTTTTTAATGGCTGATTACTATTCCACAGAATAGATTTACCAGTTTCTTTATCCACTCCTCTTGGGATGGGCATCTGGGTGTTTCTGTGTCTTAACTGATGTAGATTGTGCTGCTGTAAATATAGGACTACATATGCAGATTTCATATGCAGATTTCACTTCCTTTGGATATATTCCCAGGAGTGGGATAGTTGGGTGATAAAGCAGGTCAGTTTTCAGTTCTCCTAGCACTCTCCATACTGATAATATTTTAAGAATTTTAAAATAAGTTTCAACCATTTCCCAGGCAACTTCCAGCTTTTGCATGCTAGAAACACAACCGCACTTCAAAAAGTTCATGAAATTAGTAATTTGGGTTAAAAAAAAAAAATTCTGAAACCCATACATAGTTTTTTTCACAATATGTATTTTCATGAACTTCTACATTGATACTAAAACTTTTGCACAAATACTTTAATTCCATTTTCCCCAAATTTTATAGCACTCTCATATACCTTGATTAAAACTTGATTTTAATTTTATATAAACTGAAGCTAATTAGTATTACAGATTTTTTTTTAGACAAACTAAGTTTTTAAATTTTGTTTACAGATGCAAACCTATAAACTGATACATATCATCTGGCACTTAAGTAAATTTAGAAATTCAAACTTTTTTCAAATAACCAATTTATTTTTAAATATTTTAAATTTGACACAAATGGAACTAAAAGCTTCTAAGTATTAAAAAATATACGATTTTTAAGATCTACCACATTATGAGGTTGAATAAAATCTGAGATAAAAAGATATCAATAAGTGAATTTGAATTTAGAAACAAAATGCCTGAATGAGCTTTAACACCAAAATAAACATCATTAAGTTCTTCCTCTTGGCATCAGCTACCTAAAAATTCATTTTCCAGTGAGGAACTAAGGAAGGGAAAAGGAGAAAAATGTTTCAGTTTTCTAAATTTTTACTTGCATGTAAGTAATGTAGCATGTAATACTCACTTTCAACACAGATGCCTGACTTATACTGATTGGACCAGAAAAGTGGCCTTCCCGATTTTCTGTGCCGAGAGCCCAGCAGCCCCTCTCTTCCGTTTCTTAAAATATAATACGTTGCTGGGAGCCCTAGTCAGCTAACATGGTACAAAACTCCAGAAGCCACTGTGTTCATCCTACTGCATGTTGGGACCTGGTATCTCATCTTTCCACACCTGCGCCCTTACTTCCACATCTGTGAGGGAACATGCAGTATCTGTCCTTCTGTGGCTGTATTTCCAGTTCCATCCATCTTGCTGCAGTGTCAGGTCTTCTTTCTCTGTTATGACTGAACAATGCCCCCAATGTGTGCTTATATCAAATTTCCTTCATCAATTTATCCAACAAAGGGCCCTTTGATTCAATATCTTGGTCATTATGAAGAATCCTATGAATTTTTATCTGGGATTTTTTTTTCCTTTATTTCCAATATAGTCTTGCTCTGTATTCTTGATGGTAGTTTTATTTCAGAACTTAGAATATATCGTTCCACTCCTGCCAGCCTATGACTGCTATTAGTAAGGAGTCCTGTTGAGGTCACCTCATGATTTCCTCTTAAAATTTTTGTCATTCTGATGTCTTTAATGTGTTGGAATGAGTCGTGTCCTGCGGACCTCCTGATTTTAGGTGTCCCTGTGTTGGTCTAGTTTGGGAAAACTGAGCTGTTAGTTCAGTGAGTGGGCTGTCTTCCATTTCTATCAGTCAGTAATTCCCATGTGAATGTTGGATTCTTTGTGTCCCAGAGATCTTGGAGGCTGCCTTCATCCTTTTTGTCTGATTAAAACCTGCTTCTTTGAAATATTCCAAAGTCCTGTTATTCTTTCTTCTGCTGGATCTAGTCAGCAGTTGAGACTTTGTCGTTGTATCTGCCAGATACAACAGACAGCATGCTGAGTTGGATTTCCTTGTAACTTTCAGTTATCCTTTTGTTGATGTTTTTACATGCGATGGGTCAGCTGCTTCTCTTCCTATTACAACTTGGCTTTTGTGCACTGAAGGTTTGTTTCTGAAGATGTTTTTGAGTAGCAGCTTTACGAGCTCCTTTGGCATTCATTTATGTGTAGTTTCCCTGTAGCTTTTGCCCCTGTTGACAATGGCAATAGCTACACGTCAGTGATGACAATGAAGGTGAAGCAGTGTTGGGCCCGAGTCCAAGATGTGCTTGCCACCTATGTCCACAGCATGTGCTGACTTAATCTATGGCAGCACCACAGTCGGGAGAACTCAAAGCCGAATCAGGTTGGAAAAGCTGTCCCACAACCTGGGATGACGGATGCGGTAAGCCACATCAACCAGCACAAAGGAGAGCATAAGGCATAGTGATGTGTGAGACTGCACACTCAAAGACAGGTTGGTTAAGGCTGTGCCAACAACAGACACACTAGAGCTGGAAAAACTCAAGCTGTTCTCTTTCCCACTTGTGAGAGAACAGAGGTATGCGTGTTAGGCAGGTAAGTTCCACCAAACTTCAAGCACAGCCATAGTGTTTTTGGATCATGGCAGGGATGCAGTCAAGTACACTCACCAAAGTCAACAGGATGGTGAGGAAAACCAGGCAACTCAGGCAGATGAGCAAGACCAACTTCATAGCACAGAGCTAGAGCCAGCTCAAGCTCTGCCAGGACTAGAGTCAAGAATGCTCACCAAAGCCCAAGCAGGCTGAAGAAGACAGGCACCTGGCACAGCCAGGTAGCACAGCTTCACACAACCAGGGCAAGCTCAGACGGCAGCAAAACTGGAACCTGCTGAAGGAGAGAGCCACGCAGCTCAGGCAGATATCTAACTGATTACACCCCCCAGTGCTAGGATGAGCTCAGCAAAAGAGTCAAAGGCAGATCAGTCTTCGGCAGCCTGTGGTTCTCTACATTGCCTCTAGCGGGGGTAGAGACCACTAGGGGCTGGCACCAGGTCTGTAGAAGCAGGTTTCCCTACCCGCACTGCTGTGTTGAACTACCTAGCTCATGCGGCACGCACCACCATTTGTGGTAAGGTGATGTGGTCTGGGTTGTGCTGATTCTGGTTAGGTGTGTTAGGCTGCAGTCCTTTCTGCTGATCC